GAATTTCCAAATTAACATGCAAGGAGACACCAGTGCAGATAGAATGGTTCAAGTCCAACAGGCATGAAGGCCTCTTTGATATGATTTGCAGCAATAGGTCTTTCCTCCAGTCTGAGATTTTTTTCCCCCTATCTTCGTGGGAGCTTCTTCTCGTCCCTAGGATGGAGATTTCCTTCTCCTCGCACTAGAGCTTGTACCTCTAGAAGCATTTCTCAAAAAGAAAAAACGTACTTTAAATACTTTAAGGCAAATAAAGTTCATGTACAAATACAAATGGACATAAATGCCATGTCTAATGGCCCACCAATTTTTAATTGTGGACGTATGTTGTAAATCATAGCTAGATGATAAATTGTCCAATAAATTAACACTTTAAGAGTGTCGTTGGTATATAGTAAATTAGGTTCTCTCCTATATACCTCTTTGCATATGAAACAGAAAGACCAGTTGTCTACCATAAAGAGTAACTATACCATATGAAGAATGATGTGAAAATGAGTCAATCAAAAGAAACCAAGATCACCTCTTTCTCAAGTAAGACATTAGCGAAACCTCATTTGACAAGCCATGATCTGCTAAAACAACGGCTATAACATCATATCCTCTAATCTTTAAGCTCTCATAAGCAGATATAGTTGCTGATATGCCCCCCAAATGGCCGTCCCCAACAAGGATAACAGGTAACCTGAAAGACCTGGCATGGGAACACGCATAGGTATAGTTACAGAAACCAATCAGGTTAAGAATTGTTTGATATTGCAGGAAAGAGAAGCACATTTCTGAAGGTACCAACTTACAAAGGAATATAAATTCCTGGTTTTCAATACTGATGGCGCTGATTGTAAATTACTGCAGTCGATCAAAAAGAAATGCATTTTCTTCATGCTCAACATCAGACCATTATTCCCACATATGCTAGAGCTTATGAACATCATTTAGTGGCCATAGTTCAATTGAACATCATTTAGTGGCCATAGTTCAATTGAATGATTATGAAGCTAGTCTTCCTTCACAACAATAGGCCATGTTGCTTATTGGCTATTACAATATGTTATAATACCAAAAATAGCAATGGACTACTCATATGCAGAACAAGAGTTAATGAGCACCCAACGTAATGTCAAAGGGACAGTAAATCATAAAAATTATCAATTTTCCGTTGAGTACCACGCCGAATATCAAATAAAAGAGAAGATCCTCACCTATACAAATCACATTGAAGAGTACCCGAAGGCCCTGGACTCGCAACACCACCAGCAGTCTCAATAACCCTCCAGACCAAGATTCCAAGCATTTCGCAACCATTCCCCTCAACATCAAATCATCAACCTCCATCCCTTCCATCTCCACCGCCAAATGCGGTGAAACCGCCGCCTTCCATGCAAAAATCGTCTTACAATCCAACCTAAACCTCAAACCCTCGCTCTCAGCTCCCCCAACTCGAGTTTCTTCAAACGAACACAAACCCCTCTCCTCCGCGACCTCTTCTTCACCCTCCGCCGATCCTAACCCTAGAATCTCCTCCCTCGCCGGAATCGAAGCCCTAATCGCGTGATTCGAGGCGAAGAGGACAGATAGGGGGTCGTTCAACCGGCGGCGGAAGAGGTCCGAGGTTTTGCGGTAGACGAAGCGAGAGTCGGAGTCGTGAGGGAATCCTGTCTGGATAGGCTTCAAGTAGAGGAAGGAGGAAGGTGAAGAGGAGGAGAGGACGGAGTTTGCGATGCCGGTGGAAACTAGGGTTTTGCCGACGCCGGTGTTGGAGGCGAAGATGATGAAGGTGGGATCGGTGATGTCGACGGAATGGAGACGGCGGTTGGGGAGGAGGAGAGGGCGGTGGAGGCGGTGGCGGAGGAGGGAGAG